GAATAATTTAATGACATTTGTAGCATAAAATGCCATTATAAGTAACGACGCTCTTTCCAGCAAACACCGCTAGTTAGGTGGCTTTTTTATAGAAACGCCATTAAAGTGATAGCGTTTTTCTCATAACAATTTCACTAAACTAGCGGTACCTACAAGATACAAATATCGTTAATATTGAGGCATTTTCATATTTAAAGGCATCTAAAGTAGTGACATTTTCTGTTACAAACGCCATCAATGCAATGGTATTTTTCTCATAAAATACCACTAAATTAGCAACGATTAAAAGATAAAAGCGTCGCTAATATTAAGTTGTTTTCAAATTCAAATGCCTTTAAAGTAGCGGCGTCTCAAAAATATAAATGCAGCTAAAATGACGACGTTTCAAATATAAACGTCGTTAATATTGAGGTATTTTTTATGAAAACATTGCTATTTATCGCGATGGGTGTATAGGCGGCACTCTACATGGCATTTTTCGCAAACCTTATAGTGGCGTTAATAAACGTCGCTAAACGGTAAAAAAAACGTCACTAAAAACCAAAACCCCTATAGTGTCAATAATACCTTCAATAAATTTTTTTGTCAATAAATTTGCCAAAAATGGAGTAGTATTGTCGGTTAAAACATATAGTTGTTAATCATAAAGTTGTAGATTCAATTTCTCTCTTCAGCATTTTTTAAGTTTTTTGAAGGATTATTGAAGGCGTTTCTCCATAAAATGCTAAAGGTAAGGATCAAACATATAACCTTATGGTTAACGACTATATACTCTAACCAACAACGCTACTCCATTTTTTTATAAATTTATTGACAATGAAATTTATTGAAGGTGTTTTTTACTAAAAATGCCTTCCATAATCTTCTATAATTTTTTAAGAAAATTATTGAAGGTGTTTTATTTACAGAAAATGCTTTCAATAATAGCTTTTATTTTTTATGAGCAGATTATTCAAGGTATTTTTTACCTAAAATGCCTTCAATAATCCTTCATAAAAAATTAGAAAGATTATTAAAAGCGTTTTTTACACAAAACACCTTCAATAATCTCCTCATAAAAAATGAAAGGGATTATTAAAGGTATTTTTTGATCAAAAACGCTTTTAATAATCCTCTACAATTTTTTAGGGAAATTATTGAAGGCATTTTATGCAGAAAATGCCTTCAACAATTATTTCTATTTTTTATTAGAGGATTATTTAAAGCATTGTCTATAAAAAAACACCTTCAATAATCTCCTATCCATTTTTATGAGATGATTATTCAAGGTATTTTTTGTAAAAAAACGCTTTAATAATAACTTTATTTTTTAGAAATGATTATTCAAGGCGTTTTAGTCGAATAAATGCCGTTAATTTTTGTTTTTAATGACGTTTATAAGTAACAACGTCGCTATTTAAATATTTAGTGACGTTTTGATAATAAACACTTTAAATTTTATAAAAATACGAAAGTTAACGACATTTGTAAGTGAAAACCGTTATAAAACTGCCATTAATACGCCATTTTCTTGTAGTGCACCCAGCTTCCACTGTTTCTTGTAAGTTATTATCCATCTTGGTTCTTTTTCCCACGGTGACCCCTTCCTCCTTTTCACGATTAGTCTCCCCTTCCATTTCAATTGCTGTTCTTTTCCCTAGGTTTGTATCCAGCATGCTCATTCCCATTACATGGGTCCTTCCTTTCCTTTTCTAGCTAGCTCTTCCTTTAGCTATGTTCTCTGTATGTCTCATATGGTGATTGACTGTTCTGTTGAAGGGTTTTTTATTACATGACAATCCAAAGTGGTCCCCTGCATGTGGTCCCTCTTAACTTCAATTTCCATGTCAAATCCCTTTTTTTTTTCCCATAACTCATTACCTGCTCAAGGTTACCTTGGTCTGGGTTTTTCCTCCACGTGGTTTCAACTCCCCTGTTATCTTTTGCACGATTGTCTCCTGTAATCTCGGCAAAATTAATGTGGATCCGTGATCCCATACTAATTATACCCGAGATTTTGGCCGTGACTTCTTAACTGCTTGGCTCCCTATTGGCCGTTTCTGTCTCTCCCCTCCTCCATCGTTGGTCGTCCTCCGCTTCCACCGCCTCCATCCTTGTGTATTGTCCTCGTATTATTCACAACTATGCCTCTCTTGTTTTGTTTGATCCCCTTAACCCCGTCATTCTGGAGTAGTCTATGCCCTTTTTTTTTTATAGGAGATGCTCTCAACCAATCGTCGTATTGTTTTTCATGTTCCGGTTCCATCTCATCTTCGTCAACATGTGGGCAGTTAGCTTCGGTGTGGTCCAGTTTCCAATCGACGTAACAAAATTCCGGTAGCCTCTCGTATTCAAGCTTACCCCAGATGTTGTTGTCTCCCCCTTGCTTTGCCAACGCTACAAACCTTCTCAGTGGCTTAGTAACGTCTATCTTTACTCTCATTCGAAAAAACCTACCCCATCCCACAAAATCCATGTTATCATCGACTTCTTTAACCACTCAAATTTTTTGCCAACCCTAACAGCCACCTCCTGGTTGATCCATTTGAGAGGGATGTCATATACTCTGATCAAGAAAATGGATCTTTCAAACCGGTAATCGGACTCTCCGTTGTAATATTGAAACAGTAGAAGTTTTTTTCTCAAAGGACCACGGCGCCTCCTCCAACACCCTCGTTTTATCCTTCTTCGATATGAACTTGAACGAGAAAAGGTTGTCGTCCAGGATGCAAATCTGTACCTCTTGTACCAATTTCCAAATAACCCTAAACGTACCTGTCATTGCATCACGGTTGAAGGGTCTTGCAGTTAACAGCTTTCCTACTAACCAGCAATCTGCTTGGGATTTGCTTCCATTCTCTTTCTTTGTTCCAATCTCTATACATTCATTCTCATCCTCGATCAATTTTAGATTTTTCCAAACTACTTCCAAATCATCAGCCATGACCTTTACCCTACTACTATTTTGCTCCTTCCTTTTATTGCTGCTAAACTACCACCAATTGACTATCTAGCCCGCAAGATCTTTTCCCTGAAGAGATCTTGAGGTTGACTTAGTATCCCACTAGAACTCACTCCTTCCACAAAGTTTCAACCTCTGAGGAGATTAATGAACATAGTATGTGCTATACTTAATAACATAAAAAACAGTAAATATTATAAATAATTTTTTTTTTTTTTTAGTTTTTTGGAAAACATATCTCAATAGGTCAGTTCTTTTTTCTCTTTTGGTTATCTTCAGCTCAAATGTGATTACGACCTTTTATCACTAGTTTAGAAATCTATAACAATAATTGAAAGTAATCCCCTCAAATTCAATATTGTTTATAAGACTCTGAAGTAGATGATTTTTTATTATTCTTTGAACTCTGCAAAAAGTATATGAAACAGCAAGAATCAAGTGATTCTGTTCCAGTGGCTGCTAAGTCCAATTATTAAGTCTTGGCTATTTAAAAGTTTGTTAGTGTTGATTCATTATTTTTCTCCGCAAATTTTGATTTCTTTTTGTGTAAATCTTTTTGTGAATTGTTTATATAATTGCTAAGACTGTTAGTACAGGATATTATAGTTATTAATTAATGTGTTATGTTAATTTGTTACTTTCTATCGATATTCTTTCTTATTTATTACTTCCTATTTTTTTTTCAACTAGGTTTATTTGTTCTAAATATGTTGAAAATATTGTTACATGACTTTTCTTTCTAGCTTTCTTTAAGGTTTGTTTCAGTTTTTCTTATAGATTTATCTCCAAATTTGTATGAAATAATGTTTGTCTCAACATGTGGGTCTAGATATCTAACCGCTTAGATAAATTTTAAAATCAAATCAAAATAAAGTTATCATAATTTTTATTATTAGGCGTGAATGCTTACTTTTAAAAAATTTTATCATTTTAATAAAATTTTAAAATTTATTAAAAAATAATTTTTTTATCCAAAAAAAAATTAAATTCGAAAGCACAATTATATCCGAAAAAAAATTTAATATCCCGCAGTGCTTATTTAGAAATCGATACCAATTAATTTATTATATGAGTCAGCATTCCACTGGCATTGGACAGTTATTACTGGCTATTTAAGCCACTTCGTTAATTTGATTAATTAAATTAATAACTGAAATAAAATTTTGGACATAATACAATTTTATATACTTAATTATAAATTTTTATTATTTGGATATCAAATCTTTAGAAGTGATATAGTATCGGTGTAAATTACTTATTAACCCCAAAAAACCCATGACTATAATGAAAACCTCAAATTTATAGTACATTATGTGAAATTTCATTTTATCTATATTTAAATATATATTACAAATTTTCGATCATCTATGACTTAGTTTGTGGGTGATATCGTTTCTATACAAAATTTAACATGCTTTTTATGCAATTTATGGTTGTGATTAAATGATTATAAAATGATATATATAATTATTTGATACATTGTTAATAAAATTTTTTAATATTTTTTTTTAAATATTTTTTAAAAGATATAAGTCATTTCATTAATCTTATTTGTAAAGTTCTAATATATTTGATAATTTCTCTCATACATACATATATATATATGTATATATAGCAATAGTAAAATTATATAAATCCTGAAGGTTACATGCAACCATGCTCGTTGGAAAGTTGTGAAAAACAATATTAAGATTGCATATGTTCTCGGTAGTGATTAAAATGAATGAATTATTAATTTGACAAAAAAAAATTGAAATAGTTGAATAGAAATAGAGTCTAAACTCTAACTATCAAAATAAATTATTTTGACAAATAATAAAGTGTATATATATATATATATATATGGTTTGAGAATCAAATAAGCTTCGCCCATCGCTTTCCATATATGACCCAGCTCCACCGGTAGTACAATATTAACGTTGGTCGGTTGGTGCAAAGATATTTCCCATGTTTCAACTAAAAGAAAATGGAAAAGAAAAAGTTATATTTGCAGCATGCATAATTCTTTGGGATGTTCCTTTTTTTTAAAAAAATAGAAGATACTAAAATTCAAGCATTTACTAACATTTACCAAAAGGCTCAATTTCCCAAGCACACGAAAGTAGTAGACTTTGTTGGTAGAAACAAAAAAAAAAAAAAAAAAAGCTACAAAATAAAATATCATAGATAGATCGTCGTACTTCCTAGGTTTTGCCTACAAAGCATGTGGTTGTGCATGTTCAGGTTTGTGACTGTATTCATAATCCAGATGAACAAAGGCACGCTCAATCTCAGGCAGTAGCTCGAGCTTTTCTTGCAAAGATTCTCCGATATCATGAGCTTCTTGCAATGGCATGTTTACTGGGAGTACAATGTCAACCTCCACAAAATAGTGAGACCCGAAGGTGTAAGCTCTAACTGTATCGATACGTCTTATGGCCTTGTGGTGGTTCCAACAGAGATAGGTTAGTTTCTGAAGATATTCTGGGGCAGCTGATCTTCCAACCAGTGAGTTCACTTTCTCTAATACTGTCATTGACCATGTGCGGATGGTGTATAAAGCCAGCTGCAATATTCAAGTTTATCTCGCAAGCCACAAGTACATGCTAACTTTTTTAAAGTTTATTGCAATTTACTGATTTGATGATTCCTAAAAATCTATGAAGCATCAAATTTTTTATTGTCTATTTAAGAAGGTTATGACAATCTTACCTGCCATACTACATTTAAACAGGTTTCAAACATTCAAAGAGTTAGCCCAGCATTTACAGTCCACATTAATCACAAGAGGACAGTTCAAAAACGCTAAACCTTTGCCCTCAACTAGTAATCTTATACATGATTGCCTTTGGCTTGATCTGTAAAGTATTTGTGACTCGTTTATAAAATCCAAGCCATAATATTATAGCGAATGTTAGCAGTTCTAGTGACAATCAAAAGATCATTATTTCCTTTATTATTGACACCAGCAAGCACAGTACAGACTAAAACCTATAAGAAAACAATGAGACCAGGTAAGTGTGAGGGGATATACTTACAACGATAGCTCCAACAGGGTCTATCCAATCGTCAATGTAATTAGCAAGTAGCACAGCAACAAGGCCAATGATGTTTGTGATAACATCAAAGAAGTGATCCTGTGCATAAGCTTTGACAATTTCATTGGAAAATGAGCGGCAATAAAACACCAGGAGAAGCTTTACCAGGGTAACTCCAAGCATAATGCCAACAACCCATCTCTCTTGCTCTTTTGTCAGGTTGAATTCGTCCTCCTGGACAAACAAAGAAAGATGTCATTATCATTCCAACTACATAAGTAGTCATCCCCTAATATAGTAAAAGATTTATTGAATGGAGAAGAGAACTTCAATGCACAATCAAAGTTGACTCACATCTGATACCATTGTTCGCAATGACTCCAAGATTATCTGCAGTCCAAGAGTTGCCATGACAGAAGCAAAAACAAGGATACCATGCAAAAATTTTTAGCAGTTTTAAGTTTTGAGTGTTATTACATTTCAAAAGTTCATAACACTAAATCACTCATAAACTTCATTTCAAACAGAGACACACCAACAAATATGCCTACTTCCATGGCTATGCACCAGTAGAAAGCATATAGATATGCACACATAAAATACAATGATGCATTTGTATCTGTATACCTTTGTCTAAAATGCATACGTATTTCTGGATCCCTATCTAATCACTAGCCTTTCACTCTATGCTATGTCAAAGCGTGCTTTTGAGGCAAGGTTTCATGTCTCCATATCAATGTTACAGAGACATAATCAAAACATCCACCATATCAACATGTTTTATGACTTAGCAAAAAAGTAACAAGAACAACTAAGATTTAGAATTGATTATAAGTTAAGACTCTTGGATGGCTTCAGAAAATAAACCACATCCTAAGCCTAAGGTATAAAACCTGCTTAAATATGTTACAAGCCAACCACTATGCTTATACTCCAGCATCTTACCAGTATAATACAGGAGATAACAATTTCTCAATATATTGTTAACTAATGGACTATCAAGAGTTTGCTTTCAGAATGTCAAACCATATCAAATGCTACTTCAGAACCAGTAGATGTGGTATTATCCTCCTCTTGTAGGAGTGTGACGAAGTTACTAAACACTTGCTCATAATAACTCATATACATGGTGACTCGAGACAAGTAATCAAATGGATTAATTAATGTCTGTTATTAATAGAAAAAGAAAAAAAAAAACTCAAAGATTTAGAACCATCCTTAGAACATGTAGATTGGAAATTTAACTTACAATGTTTGCCAATATTGTGGTATAAATGCAGAATGCATTCCTTGTCAAATAATTGCTATTAAAGAAAAGGTCAGTTAGCAAAATGACAAAAATGAACAATAACAGTAGAGCAGTCAGATGCCCTTAGCTAGGAAATGCTACTTCATTGATCATGCACTAAAACTTATCTAGGAATTTGATTACTACAAGAAGGTACATCAAGAATACCAACCAGTGGCTGCATTCTTTTCTTCCCAATTGGGTACTGATATGGGTTTGGTGTTGACATGGAGAATGCAGTAAACCAGAGGATGAAACCAGACAGAAGATCAAGAAGAGAGTCTAATGTGGATGCAATTATAGCTAAGGAACCACTTCTGACTGAAGCATAAACTTTAGCAGCAAAAAGAACCATGTTTGCAATATTGGAAATTCTAATGGCTAATGTCTCGCTTCTAGCCAACTTTTCCCGCTCTTCCTGCCAATCAGAGCAACAAATTCAGTTAAATACTTCTTCAAGTACACTAATCGTATTATCTAGAGAGAACATAAGGCATCACGGTGACTCAAACCTTTGACATTCCAGGAATAAAACCACGCTCAGCTAAGGCATCCATTTCATTAAAACCCTCAAGCATTTCTACCTGCTGCTGATAGTATTCAGCCACGTTATCTTCTGGACCTGAAACCATCAAAGAAAACCATCAAGATGCATTCTTGTAACTAAGTTCTTTCATTTGCCGGGGGTGTTTCACTTGAAGCATCATTCAGCATCTGTGGCCCGTTCACCAAAAAGCATTGTTTGGTAGACGCTTAGACAACAAACTAAGCTATGCATAAAATCTTGGATTCCAACTAAAGGATTTTGTCCACTCGCTTGGTTTTCCACTCACAGAAAAACTATTATGTACAAAAATGTAAAGAACATGTTAGTCCAACATAACATATGCATAGTGTACGAAAATGACAGAGAATGCTTAGTAATCTCAAAAGCAAAAGAAACAAGATATAATAAACCCCATGTGCATGGTTAATCCTAAGGAGCTAAAATCTCTATTCTTTCCAAAGTAGAGCTAACAAAAATAAACTGCTAGATATTTCATAACTTCAATATATACACTTTAAAGTAAACCAACAAACATACATGCAGTTTATTTTGTTTATAAAGAAGGGGAGTAAGAATCCAAGAGACAATAAATAAAAAAAACTTTCATAAGAAATAAACAAAAAAAAACCCATTTACGTAAATTCACAACCAAGCAAAAAAAAGAATAGAATATTGCTAACTAAAACTAAATAAACAAAATCTCACACACCCCAAAAAAATGAAGAACATTATTAATAAATTAAAATTAATATTCTTTTTAACTTCAATAAGAAAAACAAGTAGCGGAAATAACCTAAAACCCCAAGGCAATCATGGAGGCTACGAGGAGGCTTTTTGTCCTTGTGTTCAGGAGATAACTTGAAACCGTCGAAGTTCAAACGCCATGACCCGTCACCATTGCTCTGATGTGGCAGCAGTGACATCTCTTCGTCGCTTTCACGCGCCACAGGCTCTACCATTTTTTCCGCTCACACCCCAAAGGAAAAAAATGCTTGAGATTCGCTATGTGTGATTTGGTTTTTCTTTTCTAATTCAATTTAGCAGAAAGGTAGAGGTTGGAAATATGAAGCAACGACGAGGGTATTTTGGAAAGTGAAAACTTTTGACGGCTGCAGTTACATAACTGAACTTATGAATGAGACCACCAAACTTGGGCGGGCGAAGTGAAGGGAAGATTTATAAAGGGTTGGGTTTACGTGTTGGAAATGGAAAGGACACGTGGGCGGTGGAGATGGAATCAAAGGTTGGTATCCACGGACATCAGAAATTTTCAGGATAGTGTATCTGTGGAGAAGAATGATCTGAGCCCCACGATTCTTTTATCTTCTTTCTGATGAAACTCGTTGGTTGACCCAGGGCCTTCTGCACTGAAATGATAAATTACGCTTAAGGAGCCTGCATTTCAATTGATAGAATGAGTTGTCAAATGATGATTGGTTGGGATTATTATAAAGCCAATAAAAGAGTGACACTTAAAGCTAACATTGGAAGATACCACACCATACTTTAAACAATCAAAATATATGTTTTTTCTTTACTGGGATTCTTAGTGGATCCTACCCTTTGGTTAATTAATGAATTAGTGTTGGTTTGTTAATTATTTTAATTTTTATCTTAATTAGTAAAATGTTAAATTTTTGTGTTTGATAATTTTAAATAAAGAAATTCAAATAAATGGATCTAAGATTTTAAATTTGGCCACCGCTATAATTTTATTCTTATCATTTTTTATTATTATTTTTTTATTTTGAAGATGAAAAAAGTGTTAGCAAAGCAAAGAAAATGACTTTTCAAATGGTTTTCAAGCTTTATTGATATGGAATGCCTACTTTGACTATTGTAGTTGGTGATGATGATCATTATTATTTTACTTAAATAGACCATATTTATAGTATTGATTTTGAATTTCACATGCATATACGGTAAGTAATCCTCTTATAATATATTAATTGGCCAAAAATAAAGCGTTTATGTCATATCTATGTAATAAATGTTGATTAATTAATGTATCAACAAAAGAAATTTTGACTAACTGTAATTACATAAACTCCCTCCGTGTTTAAAACTAATCTTCACTACCAAAAATTTTATTTATTACAATGAAATTTTATTGATGAAATTTTTTATTACTAATTACTTACAGATTATTAATAAAATACCCATCAAAATTTAAAATAAAAAACACTTTTATCAACAGATTATTGACAAAATTTATCGAGAAAATTAAATCCATCATTAAAAGTGTGATGCGAATTATCACCAATTTTATCGATAAATTTTTTAATTGATAAATCCTTCCCTAAAAGTTACTGATGGATTTAGCAATAAAAAAATCAGTAGATAAAAAATTTGCATAAAAAATGATATTACCAACGAAAATTCAATCGCTAAAACTAAAAAATTTCAAACCCTCCCATCAGCCAAATCTATTTTTCCCCCAATTTCTATTCCTAAATCTCTAATTCATTTTCCCCTCCCTTTTCGCATTCTACCCCTCTCTCCACCTTGCCGTTGCTCCTCCCAACTGTCTAAGTGTGTCGATCGGTATTATAGCTCCTCTCATCTGGTAAGTTTTTTAAAAATATTTTGTTTTATGTTATATTTTATATAGTATATTTATTAAGTTTAGAATTTAATTTTTTGTTATAAATTTATTGAAATTTGTTTGAATTTTGGTTATCAATGTGTTGAGTTTTTGTTAGTTATTTATTTGTTAAAATTTGTTTGGGTTTTGGTTACCAATTTGTTGAGTTTTTGTTGGTTTTATATTTATTGAAATTTATTTGGGTTTTGGTTATATATTTGTTGAAATTTGTTGGTTATATATTTTTGTTAGATTTTTTCTTAAGTATTGTTAATTTTTTTGGATTTATTTTTATTATTGTTGGGGAATTTTTTTTATTTGTTGAGTAATTTATTTTTTATTTGTGAAAGTTTTGTTGACATTTGTTGGGTATTGTTATAGATTATTAACTTTTAAATGCATAAGATTTATATTGGTTAATTTGGGTTTGATGTATATTAAGATTTTTATATATTTTGATGGATGTTTTATATTTAATATTTTCTAAATTTTAATAATAATTATAGAAATTAAAATTATTTATGTTGATTTGAGGTTATAATTTAAATATTACTAATAGTTATCTCATTTTGAATTAATTTATATATTATTAAGATTTATATTTATTTTGAAATAATTGATATATTTGATAGTTTAGTAAAATCTATACATTACTAATTATTGAAATAATGTGCTTTTATTATGTTGATCAAACTTAATATAAATAAATTAAATTATTCTATTTTATTTTTTTCATAATCTATCTATGAATGTGTGTTATGAAAATGGGTTTAAGTGGATGTATATTTTATAATGAAAATGATTTTTTATTCATTTTAATCATACTAACTTGCTTTATTTTCCATTTTACCTACTTTGAAAGTACAACAAGCTTCGTACGTAAAAGTATCTTAATCAGAGAAATTTTTCGCAAAACCAACAAAATTGCACTAAGATAGCCAAGATCAAAGGTAAAATTCTGTTATTAAAATCAATAATATTTTGTTGTGAATATGTTGTCTTATAGTATGTATGATGAATTTTGTAAAACCTTTTGTGCCATTCATGGTCTATTTGTTAAAGTAGACCAATAATTACTTCATATTATCATTTACTCATATTTTAATTCAATTTGGGTTCAATAATGGATAAAGATCGTCTTGGATGTACTCTTGTTTAGATGTTAATAGATATATTACTCAAAACTTCTATGATGGTATGAAAAAATTTATTAAATATGTTTATTCTCAACCAAATTTTATTAGTAATGGGAAGATTATATATCTCGAGTAAATATAATACTTTATTGTTTGTTTTATTTGAAATTAAATATATTTTGCTAATTTCATTTAATTTTGTATTACTAAAGTAATATTATATATGTTTGTTTTTTCTTGATGTTATTAGAATACTTACGTAATAGTTTTGTTCTATATAGATCAGACGATGGGACATCATTCTCACAACATATCGGTCGCTAGATGTAAAAATTTAAAATTGAGAAAAAATGAGAGTTGCCATCAATTTTTTTATGGTGTAAATAGTCACCTAAAAAAATTTATTTTTTTAATAAAACAATAAAACGGATTTAAAGTTAAAAAAAAATACTTTTGGTCTACGAAAATAAGATTAAGTTGGGAGTCAGTTATGTATAGAGAAGGACCAGCATTTTCACGACGTTTGTTTAAATCGATAGCAATTAATCATGCGCTATCTTTGGTTTTGAATAAAAATGGTTTTTATTTAAGATTTAATAATAATTTTCCTTTTTTTTAAGAAAGAAAATCAATTAAAATCTTTATTTAGGAATATTGTGAAAATCCTATATTAAAGAAATATGTTATAATTCTCCAACATCTAAGCATAATCCAAAATAATCTTTTTCGTTTAAGATTCATTACAAAATTCTTTTAAAAGTAAAAAAAAAAAATCTTTGCAAATAATAATTGTTAATGACTCTCCAATACCTAGGCAAATTATAAAAAATTATTTCATTCCAAATGTTATTTTAATTTTATCTTTAAATCAATTTTTAAAAGAAGCTTTTTATGTAATTAAAATGAAAAATGTTATTATTAACCATAAACATCAATTATAAAAAAATATAATTACACAAAAAATGCAAATATATATGCAAAAATGTGTCATAAGTGATGAAGAGATGTGACTTGGGATCGGATCTTTAAATATAAAAAGATCGCCTAAACTCTCTAATCTTGTGACAAAGTTTATGTGCGACTATTTATATTTAAAATCTCTTTTTTTTTTTATCTTTATCTAATCTTATTATTATTTTGATTATGGAATTACATGAAAATTTTTAGTGAAATAAGATTTCCTAAATACTCAATCGTTTAGGCAACATTCATGAATAAATTACTTTACAAAAGGTCTTCATACAAATCTTTAAGAGTTTAAGATTTCATTTAGGGTTTCAAGTTTCACTTAAGATTTAGGGTTTCACTTAGGGTTTAACTTTAAAGTTTTGTTTTAGGGTTTCACATTAAGGTTTCATTTAAGGTTTTTTTTTTTCAATATTTTACGAACTTTTCTAAAAATCTCCAACTTATAAGCAAATTTTCAAAGTAAGCTTGTTTTTATAATTTTTCTAAAAAATGAATTTTTATACTTTTATTTATTTCCTTTTTCATTACAAATTTTATTATTTTTTATTATTTTTATTTTTATTATTTAATAATTCCCATCATCTAGGCAAATTATTTTTCAAAACTTGATTTTGCACTCTCTCCAACATCTAGGTAGGGATTTCAAAATTTTTCTTGTCAATCACAATTATTATTTTTTAGGAGAATTTTTTTAAATGCAAATAACTATTAAAATGCATAAATACAATCAAAGATAACAGAAGCATGCCAATTAAAAAAACTAATACATATATAATATCATTAATCAATTTAAATCAAACATAAGCCAAAATAATTATATGATGGCAAGTATAATAACAATAGTAATAATAAAAGTAATAATAATAATGATGTAAAAAGCCATATAAACATTCATGAGCTTTAATTCTTTTTACCGACTATTTTTATTTTTTATTATTTATTTATTTATTTATTTTTTTAATATTTTATAATTATGATTTCTTTTAAATTCAAATTCTCTTAAAATTTAATTCTCCAACATTTAAACTGAATTAAACCTTTTAAAAGTCAATTTTGTTTCGATTTTTCTTTTCTTTTTTTTAAATTATTATTATTATTATTATTATTATTATTATTATTGTTGTTATTGTTATTGTTATTGTTATTGTTATTGTTATTGTTATTGTTATTGTTATTGTTATTGTTATTGTTATTGTTATTGTTGTTGTTGTTGTTGTTGTTATTGTTGTTGTTGTTGTTATTGTTGTTGTTGTTGTTATAGCCACTCTAATCAACACATGTTGTAATTGAACACCAAAAAAGATAACCAAAACATGTACCACTTTAAAAGAATGCAAGCTACTTGTTCCCCACACTCTTCCTCTTAAAAACCACTTATCACCTTTCATTTTTGCTACCATTTTTTTCTTATTTTAGTTAGAAAATATGGAGAAACAAGAGATATAATAGTTCACTAATCTCTGAAGCTAAAGCTTATCAATCTCTGAAGTTAAAGCTTTTGACAAGTTCCTAAGTAATACACTCTAAGCCAAATCGAAAAT